CCGCCCCCGGGCGCGTGGATGGGGGGGCGCCCCGGTCCCCGCCCCCTGGTGCCCGGCGGGCAAACGGCCACGCCCCCTGGCGCCCGACAACCTAAAAAGGTTGGGGACCACTGGTCTAGAATCTCTCCTACTGCATCAAGCAATTATGTATGAGCTGTATTCATGGGTACAAGATGAAGGCCAACAATTTGATGGTTCTCACAGGATTCCTATCAAATCCATCTTTTATGTCAATCATACTCTGGTAGAATAGTGATAGAAATGTAGCTGTGTTACTCTGGGGTAGCTGAAGCAAAATGCAGGACAATGTAGCACTTTAAAGACTAACAAGATGGTTTATTAGATGATGAGCTTTCGTGGGCCAGACCCACTTCCTCAGATCAAATAGTGGAAGAAAATAGTCACAACCATATATACCAAAGGATACAATTAAAAAAAATTGAACACATATGAAAAGGACAAATCACATTTCAGAACAGGAGGGGGATGCGGGGGGTGGGGGGGGAGGAAGGAAGGTAAGTGTCTGTGAATTGATGATATTAGAGGTGGGGAGAGTGGGATGTTTGTGAGTTAATGGTATTAGAGGTGATAATTGGGGAAGCTATCTTGATAATGGGTAAGATAGTTCAAGTGTTTGTTCATTCCTTTTTGGAGAGTGTCGAATTTTAACATGAATGACAGTTCATAGAATTCCCTTTCATGCATTACAGTATGGAATTGTTTGGTGCAATAGGAGCAGACAGAATTTATGTAGGCATCAGGATATGGGGGCTCAGGATCAAATTTGGATGGATTCAGGTATTGGTTTAGTATTTTTCCATATTTGTACTTGAGTGCAGGATTGTGTATGTGTATGGGGGGGAAGGGTTTGCTTTTTTGTTTGTTTGTTTGTTTGTTTGTTCAATGCCATAGAAGTAGATAGATTTGCTTTTTGATGGTATAGTTTGCCGTCTTGGGGGCCACATTTTAACAGGAACATCTTTTACATCACATAAGGTAGAATATGGAGCCAAAGCTTAGGAGACACCTAAAGAAAGCTATGACCTCAGGCCCACCTATGTATGGGATTTTTGTGCTTGTGGTAATTTGAACAATGATAACTCCCTGGCTAGGAGCTAGACAACCTGGCTGTATTTGAGGAATGCTCTGGGGATGCCTGAGGCATGGGTGGGGAAGGGTTGTACATCCACAGGGGCCAGTATTAGAACCAGCTATGGGCACACACACCCAATCTCTTCACCCAAATGCCCATGGAGAAGACAGCTCCAGAACAAACAGGTGTTTATTTATAGCTCCAGGGAGCATATACAGGCCCATTGAGTCCCGCCTTGAGCAAGCAGCGTTGGCTGGAGAGGAAACGGCCGCGGCTTTCGATTGACAGAGCCACCTTTGATGCAGCCGGGAGTGGAGCTGCCTTGGGGAGCCGGGCAGGGCTGGGCAAGGGGCGGGGTGGCGGCAGGAGAGCTAGGGGAAGAGATCGAACAGCCGGGAGAGGCTAAGCGGGCCGGGGAGGAGAGGAG